CCCCTCTCTTTCTCCCTCCTCTCTCTCTCTCTCCCTCCCTCTCTCTCTCTCTCTCTCTCTCCCCCCCTCTCTCTCCCTCTCCCCCCCATCCCCCCTCTCTTTCTCTCTCTCTCTCTCTCTCTCTCTCTCTCTCTCCCCCTCTCTTTCTCTCTCTCTCCCTCTCTCTCGTGCTTGCCCGCCTCTCCCATGGGCTGTGTCCGTGTGTGTCCATGTGTCCTGCGGCCCAGGCTCTGCCAAAGGCACCTGGGTCGTGAGGCCTCTCCTGCTGCCGCTGCCAGGGGTGGCGACTGGCATTGCGCTGGCTTCTGGGCGTTGGAAGTGCTGCCGGCAGCCTGTCCGGGCCCCGTTAGGGACCGGGGGCGGGGAGTGGGGGGTGGGGGGCAGTGTGGGGGAGAGGGATGTCGGGTTGGGGTCGGAGGTGAGTGCAGAACTCCATACTGTGTCCCCTGGCCTCCCCTCGCTGTCCTCTCTGCGCACCTGCATGTTCGATCAGTCCCTTGTTTCCCTTCAACTCGGTGGGAGGGAATGGAGAGCGAGTGGGAGGGAGCCCCCCCAGCCCCGGGTTCCTGGGGTGCAGTCAGGACACACCTGGCCGGTCGGGCGCCTCTCAGGGCTGTTCCCTCGAGCTTGCTCGGAGCAGGGCCTGTCCCAGGCGCCTCCCGCTCTGGGTCTGTGGGCGTCCCTGTCGGCCCCCCGAGATCCCGTCTGAGACCCAGCGTGTCAGACCCTCGGCCTGTGGCCCCACCAATGTAGTGGTGCAGGAAACGTTTTAGTAGAAACTTCATGACTTAGTCTTTACAGTATCCTCTTACACACCGTTATTGCGAAGGAGCTACAGTGTCTGCTGACGATGGGTGACTGTCATCGTGTTGCATTCATTCCCCTTACGTGCAGGCGCACCACTTCTCACACCAGCCGAGAGTGGTTTGGTGGCCGATGGCGCATCCTTAGTCTGGGACTGACTTGTTTGGTGTGGGCCACGGGGAATATTTTGCTTTCGGAGAGCAGGAAAATGGGTTTATTGGTGTTATGCTTATTAGTTTGTGCAGTTATTCAGTGTCTGCTAAGTGAAGGTTCAAGGAAAAGTATTAATTTTTATAAAAGGTTCCGTTGTTTTATGTTGGCAACGACTCGTCTATCTCAACCCTTTTTGGTCGGCATCTCTGTGGACACCGCCCGCGTCTCTGGGCGAGGGGAAGCGTCCACTGAAGCCCATCTGCTCGGCCTTTGGGTCAGAGCTGCTTGTCTGAGGCCCTGAACGCAGCCCAGCTGCCACGGCCTCTCCCAGGTCGGTCGGCCCCGGCTCCGGGCAGACGTGCCGTCTGTGCGGCCGTCACTCTCCCCGCAGCGTCCCGGCTCGGGCCTGTCTTCCGAGGGCAGTGAGTGCCAGGCCCTGCTCCCTGCTGACAGCGGGGGGACTGGGGCGGGGAGACCCCGTGCCCGGCCGCTTCTGCTTTGGAGCAGGATGGTCACTGACCCACATGCCCTCCGTTTCATCCTCGCCTTCACCCGGCGCCTGCCTTCCCACAGGGCACGGCTGGGGCTGCAGAGAGGGACAAAGCCCGGCTCAGACCCCTCCTTCCCAGGGGCCGGCTTTGTCCCCCAGTCAGGGCGTGCTCCTGTGGCCTGGCAGCAGGCTGGGCTGCCCCGCACCTGTGGAGGTCGGTGCCCACGGGGGGCGCCGTGCCTGTGGGGGTGTCTGTGTCTGAGACTTGGGGCTGTGTCCGGGGGACACCCCGCCGGACCTGCTGCTGACCTTCTGGCACCCGAGCGTGGCCGCGGCATGCTCCGCCCATGGGGCTGAACTCGGGCAGGGCCTGTGCACAGCCCGTCCCAAACCGCCTCAGCACGCGGGCAGCGCGTGTCGGGACTCGGGCGCGTGCGGGGAGGGGGGGGGGCGCGTGCGGGGGGGGGCACGTGCGGGGAGGGGCTCATGCGGGGGGGGGCACGTGCGGGGGGGGGGCGTGGGGGGGAGGGGGCGCGTGCGGGGGGGGCGTGTGGGGGAGGGGGGCGCGTGCGGGGGGGCGGGGAGGGCGGCACATGCGGGGGTGACCTGTGCTGGTGTCCGTGCTGGTGTCCGTGCTGGGGTGCTCACAGGTGTGCCCCCGCAGCACAGGAAGTCCTGGAGAACCTCAAAGACCGCTGGTACCAGGCGGACAACCCCCCGCCGGACCTGCTGCTGACCGAGGACGAGTTCCTGTCCTTCCTGCACCCCGAGCACAGCCGCGGCATGCTCCGGTTCATGGTCAAGGAGATCGTGCGCGACCTGGGTGAGGCCGGCCCGCCGGCAGCCCTCCTGCTGTGCAGGCCCACGGGGCTTCTCTCCGAGCGGGGAGCGGGGTGGGGGCCCGCTGGGGTGGCCTCCGGCTGGGCCCTGCAGGAAAACAGCCCGGTGGGCGCCGTGTGGCCTCAGCCAGGTCCCCGTCCCCTGAGGCACGGCCGTTCCGCTTCGGTCTGAAATGTCACAAACGGAAAATCCGGCAGCCAAACCCCGGGGCTGACTCTGCCCGTGGCCCTGGGCTCCGTGCCCCGGCCATGAACGCCCCATTGTCCCAGACCAGGACGGCGACAAGCAGCTCTCGCTGTCCGAGTTCATCTCCCTGCCCGTGGGCACCGTGGAGAACCAGCACGGCCAGGACATGGACGACAGCTGGGTGCGGGACCGGCGGAAGGAGTTCGAGGAGCTGATCGACTCCAACCACGACGGCATCGTGACCATGACTGAGCTGGAGGTGAGCTCGGGGACACGGGGTGCCGGGGGCCGTGGGGGGGCCGTGGGGGGGCCTGGGGCCATGGGGGCCGTGGGCGAAGTGGGGGGGGGACGTGGCGGTGCCTGGGGCCGTGGGGGGGCTGTGGGGGGGCCTGGGGCCGTGGGGGAAGTGAAGGGGGACGTGGCGGTGCCTGGGGCCGTGGGGGGGACGTGGGGGGGCCTGGGGCCGTGGGGGAAGTGAAGGGGGGGACGTGGCGGTGCCTGGGGCCGTGGGGGAAGTGAAGGGGGGACGTGGCGGTGCCTGGGGCCGTGGGGGAAGTGGGAGGACGTGGGGTGCCTGGGGCCGTGGGGGAAGTGGGGGGACGTGGGGGTGCCTGGGGCCGTAGGGGAAGTGGGGGGGGCGTGGGGGTTCCTGGGGCCGTGGGGGAAGTGGGGGGGGCCGTGGGGGCCGTGGGGGGCCGTGGGGGGCCTGGGGCTGTGGGGGAAGTGGGGGGGCGTGGGGGGCCTGGGGCCGTGGGGGAAGTGGGGGAGACGTGGGGGTTCCTGGGGCCGTGGGGGAAGTGGGGGGACGTGGGGGTGCCTGGGGCCGTGGGGAAGTGGGGGGGGCGTGGGGGCCGTGGGGGCCGGGGGCCGTGGGGGAAGTGGGGGGGACGTGGGGGTTCCTGGGGCCGTGGGGGAAGTGGGGGGACGTGGGGGTGCCTGGGGCCGTGGGGGAAGTGGGGGGGGCGTGGGGGCCGTGGGGGGGACGTGGAGGGCCTGGGGCCGTGGGGGAAGTGGGGGGGGGGACATGGCGGTGCCTGGGGATGTGTCCATGGCAAGTGAGCCACCTGCGAGATGGTCCTGAGCAGGAGGCGGAGTGGGTGGCTTCCTATTCTGGTCCCTGGTCACGGGTCACCCAGTGGGACCTGAGCGGAGGCTGGGGGCCTCAGGGAGGCCCCACCAGCATCGCCAGCTTCACGCCCAGAGGATGGCCGTGCCTGTGCCCTGGGCCTGGGTGTCCCGGCTGCCGTGGCCAGTCCTGGCGCTGAGAGCCTGCCCATCGGGGTCGGGGTCGGGCACAGGGTGTGGTTGGAGCCTTCGGTGTACGTGCCGTGAGCACTTCCCCACTGTGGTGAGCCATTTCGTTTTCCTCGAGAATCCTCTGCTCCTGCGGTGGCTGGGGCGGCTCAGGTCCTATGGCCCATCCAGGCCCCGTCCATGTGACCAACAGCCCCTGGCTCCGTCCCGGCAGGGCCCCCTCCCCGCCCTCTCCCCGGCCCACGAGGCAGCGCCCCCTGGCCTGGGCCATCGCCAGGCCTGGGTCCTTCTTCCAGAACATTCCCACATCCACAGGGTGTCAGAGAGAAGGCGGGGCTGCTGTGGCCCTCAGCCGCTGCTCCCTGGGGCCTCGGCGTGGCCGGGCAGGCGCGGCCGGGCCCCGTGTGCCGGCCGTGCTGACCGGGCGCCCTTGCAGGAGTACATGGACCCCATGAACGAGTACAACGCCCTCAACGAGGCCAAGCAGATGATCGCCATCGCGGACGAGAACCAGAACCAGCACTTGGAGCCTGAGGAGGTGCTCAAGTACAGCGAGTTCTTCACGGGCAGCAAGCTGGTGGACTACGCCCGCAGCGTGCATGAGGAGTTCTGAGCTCTGAGGCCGGAGAGCGGAGCCGCCACGGCCCTGCCACGGCGCAGCCACGGCGCAGCCACGGCCCTGCCACGGCGCAGCCACGGCCCCTGCCACGGCCCGGCCACGCCCCGCCACGGCGCAGCCACGGCCCCGCCACGGCGCGGCCACGGCCCCGCCACGGCGCGGCCACGGCCCCGCCACGGCGCAGCTCACCGCCCGCGCGGGGCGCCCGGCCTCGGGGGCTCCCGGCATCAGTGCGCCCTCCGCCCCAGAGGCACGGACTGCGGCAGAGCCACACTAACTTATTGACGTGTAGTCTCTCTTCCTCCAGCTTATTTTTTGGGGACAAAAATGCATAAATGGTGATTCGGAACATCTGTGGCCACGTGGCTTCCCTTGAGCTTTGAGGGGTTGTTAGAAGCCTGGGCTGGAGTGGGGTTTCTGCAGAAACCGTGACCGGACGGGGCCACGCCAGGTCAAGGGGAGGCAGGTCGGGGAGCCGCCCTTGAGGGGCCAAGAGGAAATGGGCATCCAGGTGCGGGGACATCTGAGGCTGGGCCCTGGGCTCTGCCTGTGGCAGGGAGGGGGGCAGGGAGGGGGGCAGGGAGGGGCCGAGCGGGGAGATGGGGGAGGGGCTGGGGCCAGCTTGTTGTCTGCAGTCTGCCGTGACGGGGCTAGCTGTCCAGGGCCAACTGGCTGGTGTGTGGGGCGGAGGGGGACCAAGCTCCGAGCATGTAAATGACTGCGGGCCCCTGACCCCACGCCTGGCCTGTGGCCCGCCCCCAGCACCCCGCCGCTCGGCCCCCCTCCTGGCTGTGGTGCCTCGGGGCACAGCGCGGGCCAGCAGGTCGGCTTGGCCTTGGATGTTCCACCTCAGAGCAGAGGGCCCTGGCTGCCATGTGACCAGCCCTTGCCACAGAGACCCACTTCCGAGCACGCCTGGGGCTGCCACAGAGGAATGGGCGGGTGACACCTGGGTTTGCAGACAAACAAGCAGAGACTTTTTAGATCTGATGGGAGTTCGTGGTGGAGGGGGTGGGATTGTGGAGGAGGGAGGTGGGGTGGGACTGGTGGAGGGGGTGGGATGAGGGGAGATTGTGGTGGAGGGAGGTGGGATGGGAGGAGCTGGAGGGGGAGGGAGGTGGGATGAGGGGAGCTGGAGGGGGAGGGAGGTGGGATGGGGGGAGCTGAGGGGGAGGGGGTGGGATGGGAGGAGCTGGAGGGGGAGGGAGGTGGGATGGGGGAGCTCGAGGGGGAGGGAGGTGGGATGGGGGAGCTCGAGGGGGAGGGAGGTGGGATGGGGGAGCTGGAGGGGGAGGGAGGTGGGATGGGAGGAGCTGGAGGGGGAGGGAGGTGGATGGGGGAGCTCGAGGGGGAGGGAGGTGGAATGGGGGATCTGAGGGGGAGGGGGTGGGATGGGGGAGCTGGAGGGGGAGGGAGGTGGGATGGGGGAGCTGAGGGGGAGGGGGTGGGATGGGAGGAGCTCGAGAGGGAGGGAGGTGGAATGGGGGAGCTCGAGGGGGAGGGAGGTGGGATGGGGGAGCTGGAGGGGGGGGAGGTGGGATGGGGGGAGCTGGAGGAGGAGGGAGGTGGGATGGGGGGAGCTGGAGGGGGAGGGAGGTGGGATGGGGGGAGCTCGAGGGGGGGAGGTGGGATGGGGGAGCTGGAGAGGGAGGGAGGTGGGATGGGGGGAGCACGAGGGGGGAGGTGGGATGGGGGGATCTGAGGGGAGGGGGTGGGATGGGGGAGCTCGAGGGGGAGGGGGTGGGATGGGGGGAGCTGGAGGGGGAGGGAGGTGGGATGAGGGGAGCTGAGGGGGAGGGAGGTGGGGTGAGGGAGCTGAGGGGGAGGGAGGTGGGATTGGGGAGCTCGAGGGGGAGGGGGTGGGATGGGGGGATCTGAGGGGGAGGGGGTGGGATGGGGGGAGCTGAGAGGGAGGGAGGTGGTGGGCCAGGCCCAGGTGGGTCTGGCGGGAGCAGGTGTGAGCTCCCGGAGGCTGGGCCTGCAGTGACTGCTGCTGTCAGTCACCTGTGAGCAGATGCCTGGCCTCTGCCAGGCGTGGGGGCCTGGGGGGCGGGCCCCACGCAGTCCCTGGGAAGGAGCGGGCGCCGCCTCAGACCCTGAGGCCACGGTTCTCTATTCGGCAAGAACAACGCTTTCACGGCCGGGAGACGGGCACACTCACCGGCTGCCCCTCCGTGGCTCCCCCGGCAGAGGTTCAGGAGGGGGGGCCGCGTGGGGCTGCCGTGGGGACTTTCCCGCCGGTGGGCCCGGAACCGGTACCTGCACCCGGCAGGAGGGACTTTCCGGCCTCGTCCTGTGGGAGGCTCCTCTCTGGGAAAGTTCTCAAATGAGCTGTCGAGTAGGTGCGCCTGGGCCCCAGCACGACTCAGAAGGTACAAAACAACCGCTCTGCCGCCCCAGCCGCCGCGCCACGGTGCCAGGCCTGTGTGTGTGCACGCGTGTGCGTGTGTGCGTGTGCGTGCATGTGTGTGTGCGCGTGTGGTGCACACATGTGTACGTGTGTCTGCTCGCTCCACCTTTACACACCTGGCGGGCTGCCCAGGCCCCGTCTGAGGCCACCACGTGCTCCAGGGACAGTCGGCTGGACCATCGTCTTCTCTGTTCGGCGGAGCTGGGGAGCGCCCTTGCCCAGGCTCCCGAGCAGCCACACGCTCCGGCTTGTGGGCCGGTGACACGCCACGCACACGGACACGGCCCGCACATGCTCCCCGCCCGGCACCTGGAGAGGGCGGGCCCGCTCGGCGGCACGGCTAGGTGTGGCCAGCCCGGGAGCCGGGATGGGCCTGGGTGAAGGCGCTTGTGCCCCAGCCCCATCCGGCTCCCGCGCCAGGTGCCGCCAGCCTGGGCCGACGCCATGTCTTCACGTGGCCGCCCCTCCTCGCAGCAAGGCCAGTCGTGTGGGGTCAGGGCTCCCGTGTGGACTGGGGACACTGGCCTCCCACACCTGCGGGCTCAGACGTGGCTGCACACGGGCACCTGCTTCCCCGGCTGCAGCCCTCACCACTGCCACTGCCCGCCCCGCCAGCCAAGGATCCGGCCTGGAGCCGGGACCCTCTGCAGCCGGGGCTGAAGGAGGCCTGACCAGCGCCTGTGTCCTGCCTGTGCCTCGGCTCCTCGCGAGCTCTGGGCGCCTTCTGTGAGGGGCCTGTCACGCTGGCCCCTGCCTCCTGAGGGTCTGCCCTGGAGGAGGGAGTGTCCAGAGGAGCGAGTGTGAGGGCCCGGGGTCTGTCCGGGCAGTGGGCTGCCCCGCACCAGCACGGGCTCCACCTCTGTCCGGGCGGGATGCTGTGGGCGGGCTGGTGGGCGGGTGCGTGCAGACCAGACGGCGGGACCCGTGCTGGGGGCTCGGTGACCCGGGTCCTCACTCTGGCCAGGTCTGCTCAGGTGGGAGGGCCGAGCCTGCGGTGGTGGAGGGTGTCCTCGGGCCTCCGCTGCCTCCTCCCCGCCCCTCCCCCAGCCTTTATAGTCACATCCTGCAAGGAAAACCCACAGACTCCTGCCCAGCTGCCGAGGCAGAGATGTGTGTGGGTGCTCAGCGGCCCCGGGCACCGCCGTCCGCCCTCCTGCTCCTGGGGCTGGCGCTGGGCTCCGCGGCCAAGCTCACCTGCACCGGGGACACCTACCCTCAGGGCGGCAAGTGCTGCCATGACTGCCGGCCAGGTGAGCGGCCGGGGCCTGAGGAGGAGAGGGACACGGAGGGGTGTGGGCAGGCAGGGGAGGGTAAGGGCTGTGGGTGTCACGGTGCCAGGGTGGGGGACGCTCAGGGTGGGGAGGGACTGGGCCAGGCCGGTCTCCCGACCCCCGCCCGCCCCACAGGGTTCGGCATGGTGGAGCGCTGCACCTCCACCCAGGACTCCGTGTGCCGAGAGTGCGCCCCCGGCTTCTACAACGAGGCCACCAACTACCAGCCCTGCAAGCTCTGCACCTGGTGCAACGCGCGTGAGCCCCCCAGCCAGCCGCAGCCACAAACCCCAAATCCCAAGCCGCAGAGGGCTCCCGGGGGTCCCCGGGGGCTCCCTCCTCCGGGGGCGGAGACCAGGGGGGCGGCGGGCGGGGCGGGCTGGCACGCGGTGACGGGAGTTCTGGACGCGGGCGGCCAGGCGGCCACGTGGCCGGGCCGGACGCAGCGTCCGGGGCAGGGGGGATGAGGAGCCCCGGCCTCGAGGGAGCCGCGGGCCCGAGGGAGGGGCTCTGGGCGAGACTGGCCCTGCAGCCCCCTCTGCCCCCAGGAAGCGGGAGCGAAACCAGGCGGGCGTGCACCCCCACGAGCGACACCGTGTGCAGCTGCCGGCCCGGCACCCAGCCCCGCGGCAACAGCTTCAAGCGAGGAGTCGGTGAGCCAGCAGGGCCCTGGGCTGCTGCCACCCACTGCCAGCCCTCCCGACCGGCCCAGTGCCCCCCCAGGCCACGCCAAGATGGGCGCGGGTGGGGCTCCAGTTCGGGGCCTGTGGGTGGCACACAGGCAGGAAGGCTTCCAGGGCCGAGGGGGAGCCAGCTGCACAGCCTGGCACCACCATCGTCTTCATCGTCTTTGTCTTCGTTGCAGACTGTACCCCGTGCCTCCCCGGACACTTCTCCCCGGGCAACAACGAGGCTTGCAGACCCTGGACCAAGTGAGTGCCCCCATGTGGCCCACCGCCCGCTCAGCCCTGCCCAGCCTCCGCCCGGCCCCTGGCCTCCCTGCCGGCTGCGTGGGGTGGGGGGGGATAGAAACCATCCCGGGACCCAGGACTGGGGCTGGGAGCTGTGCTAGGACTGCATGGTGGGCAGGGTTTGGGGTGAAGGGCTGGGAGGAGCCAGCGGGGAGCAGAGTGAGCGAGGGGATGTGGGATGAGCAGACCCTGGAGACCCTGAGGGTGGGGTCAGGCTGAGGGGTGGCAGGGACGCAGGCTCCTCAGTCCTGGCCAGTCCCAGGCGTGGGGTCCCTCGGGAGGAGGAGGGCTGTCTGAGCCGGACAACACCGCCCGCAGCTGCAGCTTGGCGGGGAAGCACACCCTGCAGGCCGCCAGCAGCAGCTCTGACGCCGTCTGCGAGGACAGGACGCCCCCTGCCCCCCAGCCCTCGAAGACCCCGGGCCCCCCAACCCGGCCCTCCACCGCCCAGCCCACCACCGCCTGGACCCCGACCTCACAGCCGCCCACCAGCCCCCCGACAGAGCCCCCCAGGGGTAAGGCGCCCAGCCTCACCCAGCAGGATCCCAGCCCCTGGGGCGTGGGGTGGGAGGGCGGGCGGGTGGAGACGGTGTGGCCGGGGCTGCCCTGGCCTCCGCGGTGGACCCCACTACACGCCTCCCCGCAGGCCCCCAGCTGGCCGCTGTCCTGGGCCTGGGCCTGGGGCTGGGCCTGCTGGCCCCCATGGCTGCCGCCCTGATCCTGCTCCTGCACTACAGAGCCAGGAGGCCGTCCTCCGGTGAGTGCTGTGCGGCCCAGCTGATCCCTGAAGGCTGAGGCCAAGGCGCTCCCCTCCGCCCCCTCCCCTCCCCTCCCCAGGAGGCCATGGCCTCTCCCCTCCCCAGGAGCCCATGGCCTCTGACCTCCGCCCTCTCCCCCCCCAGGAGGCCATGACCTCTGACCTCCGCCCTCTCCCCCCCCCCAGGAGGCCATGACCTCTGACCTCCGCCCTCTCACCTCCCCAGGAGGCCATGGCCTCTGACCTCGCCCTCTCCCCTCCCCAGGAGGCCATGGCCTCTGACCTCCGCCCTCTGCCCTCCCCAGGAGGCCATGGCCTCTGACCTCGCCCTCTCCCCTCCCCAGGAGGCCATGGCCTCTGACCTCCGCCCTCTCCCCTCCCCTCCCCAGGAGGCCATGGCCTCTGACCTCCACCCCTCCCCTCCCCAGGAGGCCATGGCCTCTGACCTCCGCCCTCTCCCCTCCCCAGGAGGCCATGGCCTCTGACCTCACCCTCTCCCCTCCCCAGGAGGCCATGGCCTCTGACCTCCGCCCTCTGCCCTCCCCAGGAGGCCATGGCCTCTGACCTCGCCCTCTCCCCTCCCCAGGCTTCCGGAAGCCCATCCAGGAGGAGCACTCGGACGCCCACTCCACGTTGGCCAAGCTCTGAGCATGACCTGGGGCGGCTGTGCCCTCTCAGGCCAGGGGGTGGGGTGTCCCAGGCACAGGCCGCCCTCTTGGTACACATCACCCCATCGCTGTCACCTCGTCCTCCTGACACCCCTGTGCCCAGCTCCCAGCGCTGTCCCCGCCCGCACCATTCTCGGTGCCTCTGGGCCGGCACCTGGGCCCTATGTATGCTGTGCATACTCCCCACCCAGGTGGTAACCCCAATAAACACGGCCAGCAAACATGGTCTGTCCGGTGTCCATGGCTGGGACTGCATTCCGGGGACTGGGACCTGCCACCGCTGGCGGAGCTGAGGCGGGTGTGGGAGGGCTCCGGTGAGCCACTCGGCGGGCACTCCGCACACAGCGGGCATGGGCTACGCCGTGCCCACCCTGGGGGCCCCTCGGGCAGCATCCGGGGGTGCAGCGCCCCCCGTGGTGTCCCTCCTGTACGTGCCGCCTCTGGGAACTGAAGGCGGACGTGACAGGAAGCCGGGACCTGGCCGTGGAAACGCTGAAGTGAGCAAGACCACAAGCCACGGCTGGAGGTGGGGAAACACGCAGGAGCTGCCGAGGGAACCAGATGCGGATCCCAGTGCCTGAGGGGGCGTGAGGCCGTACCTCAGGGAGCCACGGCGCACTTGGCAAAGACCGGCCCAGGGACACCTGCTCACGCCGCCAGGACTGCCATCTGCTGGGCGTCCTGCCCGGGGCCGCAGGGGCCTCTGGGCGCACACAGGCCCCGACCGACCGCAGTGCGTGCAGCTGGGGGCACCACTCTGGCGCTGACGGAGCCTCGGTGCCCCCAAGCCCCCAGCCCCGGCCTCTGACCTTTCCCTTCTCAAACCTCTGACTCCGCCCTGAACCTCCGGCTGCAAAGGGAAGGAGCGTCATCCTGCCGTTATCGCACTGAGAGAACCGGGACGGGCCCCCACGTGGGACCAGACCTCGGGGTTCCTCCCAAACCACCCGGCCCAGCTACCCCACGTTGGCGCCTTCTCATCGCACCCCGGTCCATCCGGGCTCTGCTGACAGCCCCGACGTCCTCTTCTCCGGGCCCCACCTGAGTCCCCGGGGGTGCTGAGCTGTGTCCCCCCTCAATCCCGGGCCCGTGGGCACCCGGGCCTGTCCCCACCGGCCCCGCTCTCCCTGCCCCAGCCCTTCCGTTACGACAGACCCCCGTGGGCCTCACGCCGCCTGGGAGCTGACGTAAAATGACAGAGAAACAGGAGGTTTCTGAGCGGGTGGAACGGGGCCCCTGCCCCTCGGAAACCACACGCCGAGGCCCCCCCCACCGCGCAGGAAGGAAGCGCGGGCGCGGCCGCGTCTGCTGTTGTTCTTGCCTGAAGGGCCGTGCTCCCGCTAGGCTGTCGTCACCCAGCGGCCTGTGGCTTCTGTGGCCGCAGGTGAGCCGGCCCAGCCCGCACACACTCCAGGGGGCTTTCCTTCCTGTCTCTGCCGAACTGCCCAGCCGGCTGCCCCGCCCCTGCACACACACACACACACACACACACACACACCATGAGCCCGTTCCAGAAGGTTCCAACGCCCCTGCTCCCAGAAGGACCTGCTCAAACAAGCACCCACCGCGGGGGTTTCGAATGGCTTTGGCCACAGCGGACAGGTGCTTCCCAGAGCTGGTGACAGTGCGCACACAGACCTGGCCTCTCCTGCCTTCGGAATGGGCAGCCCTGGCCACTGTGGCTCAGTGGGCAGAGCGCCGGCCTGCAGGCCCAAGGGTCCCGGGTTCAATTCCAGTTAAGGGCACACACCTTGGTTGTGGCTCACTCCCGGCCCGTTTCTCTCTGTCTCTCCCTCTCTCTCCCACCCTCTCTGAAAACCCGTGGGAGAAAGTCCTCGGGTGAGGAGAATGAGCAGAGGCAGGAGGTCCGCTCGGAGCACCTTTACCTGGAGTTCCGTCCCAGCCCACAGACCCACCCCCCCTGGAGCTGGACAGAGATCTCAGTGCTCAGGCCCCTGGCCCCCCTCACCCTCGGAGCCGCTGGCAGCCGGGACCAGTCCCCCCCTGAGCAAGAGATCAAACTCAAAGGCCACCACGGGCCAAACAAACCAGGCTTCAGTGTGTGGTTGCATACGGCTAATACGGCCGAAAAAAACAAAGCTTCCATTTTCATAGAAACGTAGGTTTATTTCGGTAGAGACATGCTGGATACAAAGAGCTGAGATACACGAGTCATCGTTAACATAAAACAGAACATTTAAATAAAAATTAATAAAAATTAACTTACAGACGCTGAGTAAAGGCACAAATTTATAAGCATCACGCACGTCACCTATTTTTCTCGTTCTTCGAAAGCGAAGTGTTCCCTGTTGTGCTCACCAAATAAGTCAGTCCCACACTAATGACGTGGCCATCGGCCACCAAGCCCTTCGCTGCTGGTGTTAGTGGAGAGAAGTGGTCTGCCTGGGCGTGAGGGAAATGACTGCAACACGATGACAGTCATCGTGGTTATCGAACATTGTAATTCGTTATTAGTAACTAGAGGCCCTTGGCCTGGCCTGCGGGGATCGGGCCGAAACCGGCTCTCCCACATCCCCCGAGGGGTCCCGGATGGCAAGAGGGTGGTTCTCGGGTGACACACTCTGGAATCACGCTTCCTCCTCTCTGGTTCAGGGTGCGTCACCCGAGAACCACAGCTGCCAAGTCGCTGCAGCTCGGCAGCTCCTATGTTGAGTGTCTGCCCCCTGGTGGTCAGTGTGTATTATAGTGACCGGTCAGATGGTTGAATGGTCGGCCTGTCACTTAGCTTTTATATAGATAGATTATGTATAACAGGATTTTGTAAAAATTAGGAAATTTTTACTAAAACGTTTCTTCCATACCGTTATATTGGCTGGGCCACAGAAATATTCGTTGTGGGCTGCGAGTTTGACATGCTTCCCTTAGGGACTCCTCTCTGAGGTGGACTCCTGCATCCTGGGACTTGAGAACAAGAGCTGAGCCTCTCATGTCCCTCAGAAAAGGAACCACTGCTCCATGCTGGTCTCGGAGGGTCCCTGGCTCTGCCCATGTCACAGCAGCACCCCCAGCCGAGGGGTGCACCCAGGGCACATTCCTGAGACCCCACCGCCCCACTCCAGCACTCCCAGCAGCCTGCACCTTGAGCCTCGGCTGGAGGGCTGGGAAATAAGGCTGAGCAATCTAGGCGGGCTCCCTGGCGGAGGTGAGCCCCAGAACCCTTCAGTCCACTGGGGGAAACTGAGGCTAGCCCTCCGCAGCCTCCGGTTTGTCTGAGCAGATCTGGGCTGGACCGCTCAGCAGTCAGAGTTGCAATCAGACAGGTGCCTCAGGCTTCAGCCAGTGCCCTGGCCTCTCCTCCCCAGCCCTCCCACAGGATCCCGAGGGTGGGCAGGGTGAGCGGCTCCCTGGGGCCCTAAGCTGTGGGCAATGTCTGCAGCCGCAGCCCCCAGGGTGAGGGGCATCCAAGCTGCTGGAAGCCCACCAAGCGCCCGGTCGGCAAAGTCAGGGGGAGGCTCCTCCTAACTCCCAGAAAGCGGGTATGGGTGCTCGTCCGACCCACAGATGGATCCCAGGCTGCTGGGTGCTGAGCCTGGTTTCCGTGGTGCTGCAGGTGAGGTAGGCTCAGCCCCACACACTTCTCCAGGGGCCTTTTTCTTCTTTCTCTGCAGATCTCTGCCCAGCCTGTGGCCATGTCCAGGGCGGGCGTGGGCTCTGGGGTCTGTAGGCTTCATGGACCAGGGACTTCCCCACACTCTCCCCAGGGAACCCAGGAGAGCTTTAAAAGCCCATACCGTGCCCGTCCAGTGGCTCAGTGGTTGAGCGTCGACCTATGACCCAGGAGGTCATGGTTCAATTCCCAGTCAGGGCACCTGCCTGGGTTGTGGGCTTGATCCCAGTGTGAGGGGTGCAGGAGGCAGCTGATCCATGATTCTCTCTCATCATTGATGTTTCTCTCTCTCTCTCCCTCTTCCTCTCTGAAATTATATATATAATTTTTTCTTTTAGAGGCCGATGCATGAATTCATGCATGGGTGGGGTCCAGCCAGCTTGGCCTGGGGGAGGGGACATGGGTGGTAGGCCAGCCTGCCTGCTATTCAAACTCCTGGTCAAAGGGACAATTTGCATATTAGCCTTTTATTATATAGGATATACACTGAGTGGCCAGATTATTATGTATTCAGAGATCACAATAATATGGCCACTCAGAGTATATATATACTATATAATAAAAGAAAAATTTTTATTAATTGACCATACCTCTGTGATGCCCACCAGCCAATCAGGCATGAGTATGCAAATTATCCTGACAAAGGTGGTGGGTTAATTTGCATACACAGGCACCAGACAGAGAGCAGAGAGGGAGAGCAGGAAGGGAAAACCAAGAGCTCCGGGAGCACCAGGAATGCTGGGAATTGTAGTTCTGGTAGCAGACGGATCTCCTAGACACCAGAGCAAAGTGAGCCCAGAGCGAGTTACTGTCGCGGTGTGGGATGGAGGAAAAGCAAAGGTGAGAGACAGTAAGATCAGAGTGTCAGGGAAAAGTTAAAGGGAAGATATCCCAAAACTTCCAGGAAATCTCCACCAATGAAGCAAAGAAAAAAAAGCCTCTATTATTCTGTGAGCAACAAACCAAACTGGGTTGGGGTCTCAGACAATTCGCTCATGATTGCAAAGACAGACAGAAACTCCTGGATTGGAGAGGTGTCTCCTGAGGCCTCCCAGATTGGAGAGGGTGCAGGTCGGGCTGAGGGACCCCCACCCCGTGCACTGGGCCCCCATGCCCATCCCTCTCCCCAGGAAGCCAGAGGTGGGAGGGGGTTCAGCCAGGAGCCAAGGGGTGCAGCGAGGGAACGGTCCTGGGCAGGTTCCATCTGCATGGGGGTCCCCTCTTGAGCCCACCTCTGGGCACTGCCCACCCTCTGTGACTCAGAGCTCCCTCTGTCACCCACATCCGGAGCCCACCCTGCTCACACCCATGGCTCCCGGCCTGGTGGCCACAGGTTTTGCATAGATAACATTTCAGACCTCTGCTCTGCCCACACCCGGCCGGGGGTGTGTGGATAGCAGCTCTGGGTCAAAGGGCACAATCACTTAGGAACCCCCCAAGGTCACCCCAAACGTGCCTCAAGCTTTAGTCGATGGACTCCAAGTGGTCAGGTGCTGGGCTCCACTACATTTTAAAAAAATGTTATTGATTTCAGAGAGGAAGCAAGAGGGAGAGATATAGAAACCTCAACAATGAGAGAGAATCACTGATGGGCTGCCTCCTGCACGCGCGCGCCCCCCCCCCCCCACTGGGGTTGAGCCCACAACCCAGGCATGTGCCCTCGACCGAAATTAAACCCGGGACCATTTGGTCCGCAGGCTGGTGCTCTGTCCATTGAGCCAAACAAGCTAGGGCTCCACTACATTTAAAAAAAATTTTTTCTCTCTTAATAAACAAACAACTTTTGCTGAAACCGGTTTGGCTCAATGGATAGAGCGTCAGCCTGTGGACTAAAAGGTCCCAGGTTCGATTCCGGTCAAGGGCATGTACCTTGGTTGGGGGCACATCCCCAGTAGGGCGTGTGCGGGAGGCAGCCAATTGATGTTTCTCTCTCATTGATGTTTCTAGCGCTCTATCCCTCTTCCTTCCTCTCTGTAAAAAAAATCGATAAAATGTATTTTAAAAAAGCACAAAAAAAACACCTTTTATTGATTTCAGAGAGAGGGGGAGAGAGATAGAAACATCAATGATGAGCCCTAACTGGTTTGGCTCAGTGGATAATGTCAGCCTGCAGATTGAAGGGTCCCAGGTTCGATTCTGGTCAGGGGCATGAATCTTGGTTGCGGGCACATCCCCAGTAGCGGGTGTGCAGGAGGCAGCTGATGGATGTTTCTCTCTCATAGTTGTTTCTCTCTATCCCTCTCCCTTCCTATCTATAAAAAATATATATAATTTTTTTTTTCTTTAAGAAAGAAACATCAATGATGAGAGAGAAGCATCCATCAGCTGCCTCCTGCATGCCCCCACTGGGGACCAAGCCTGCAGTCTGGGCATGTGCCCTGACGGGGAATTGAACAGTGACCTCCTACCTCAAAGGCCGGGCTCAGCCACGGAGTCTGCCAGCTGGGCTCTACTAGATAGTTTGGAAACAGACTTTGTGGCCCGGCCGGTGTGGCTCAGTGGATAGTGCGTGGGGCTGCAGACTGAAACGACCTGGGTTCGTCCATGGACCTTGGTTGCAGGCTCCTCCCCTCAAGACCCTAGTCAGGGCTCATGAAGGAGGCACCCAATCGACTTGTTTCTCTAACATCATGTTTCACTCTCTAAAAAAGAAAAATATATAGATTTTGTTTTTCAGAGCAAAACTGAGGGGCAGGCACAGCTCTGCCCCCACCCGCGCCCAGCCTGCCCCCCACCGCCATGGGGGGGCAGGTCCCAGTGGAAGCTATGCCGTGCGCCCTGGTCTCCGGGGTCCCTCTGGCTGCGCCCTGGTCTCCGGGGTCTGCGCCCTGGTCTCCGGGGTCCCTCCCAGCTGCGCCCTGGTCTCCGGGGTCCCTCTGGCTGCGCCCTGGTCTCCGGGGTCCCTCCCGGCTGCGCCCTGGTCTCCGGGGTCCCTCCCGGCTGCGGGGTCACTGTGCGGCCACTCCGCTCGCACAGACGCGGCCACACCGCGCTGACCACGGCGATCGCAGGTCATTGCCCCCCCCACCCCCCCGCCGCCCCTGGAACTGAGCCGCGCGCTGGGGTCCTGCGGCGCCCGGTCTCTCCATCCTGGGGGAGGGGGGGCGGGGGGAGGAGAGCGCGGGGGGAGGGCTGCGGGCGGGGCGTGTCAGTGGGGAGTGTCCTTGGGCGTGGCCACGGGCGTGTCCGTGGGGGCGTGACGGTCTCAAAGCACGCGGCCGGCCGGGGAGCCGGGGGACATGGGCGCGAGGGCCGCCCTGTGGGGCGTCGCGCTGCTCTGCGCGCTGGGCCTGGGCCGGGGCTCCCCCGCCGCCGCCCAGGGCTCCGCCGGGGACCCGAGCTGCGCGCCCGGCCGCCTCCTGCGCGGCGCCGGGCCGGACGCGCGCTGCTGCGGCCCCTGCGCCTCCGGTAACGGGGGGACCGGGGAGAGGGGTGCGGGTGGGGGAGAGGGGTGCGGGGGGGGGAGAGGGGTGCGGGGGGAGAGGGGTGCTGGGGAGAGGGGTGCGGGGGGAGAGGGGTGCGGGGGGAGAGGGGTGCGGGGGGGAGAGGGGTGCGGGGGGAGAGGGGTGCGGGGGGGGGGAGAGGGGTGTGCGGGGGGGAGAGGGTTGCGGGGGAGAGGGGTGCGGGGGGAGAGGGGTGCGGGGGGAGGTCGCGGGGGGCCGGGCCGGCGGGGCGGGGGGCTGCCGGTTCCAGGCGCAGAGGCCCGTGCCCCCGCCGCGCAGATGGCGAGGCGGCGCAGGCAGCCTCCCGGTCGCGGGGAGCCCGGCCCCGAAGAGAAAGTGCCCCGCTCCGCCGGGGCTGAGGTCGGCCGGGGTGTGGGTCCTGATTCCTGGGTCCGATTCCTACCGAGTGCGCGGCGGGTCCTGGTCATCACCCAGGGGCCTCCGGTCCGCTTTGGGGCCGGGCGCCCGCTCTGCCCCGCCCCCTGGCTCTGCCGGGGCCCTGGCCGTGGGGGAGCAGGTGGCCCGCTGCCCGGGGCAGATATCAGAGGAAACGCCCCCAGCGAGCGGGCCACCCGAGGGGTTCTGGCCCGGAGGGAGGGGGCCAGGCGGGGGCGGGGCAGGGCTCCCCGTGTCCAGCAGGGACAGGCCTGGCTGCGGGGGGTGTGTGTGTGAATGTGTGTGTGTGTGTGTGTGTGTGAGCAGGGTCAGGGTGGGAGCGGGTGGAGGCGGGACAGCCAGGCCTCCTAGGAAGGGGGGGGGGGTGTCCCGAGGGAGAGACCCAGCTGGACTGAGCAAAGGTCCTGGTGTCCGCTGCCTCCTGGTGGTGTCTGGGGGTGCGGGCTGCCCTGTCCTGCCCCCCGGACCCTGGAGGGCCGGAAAGTGGGGAGCCCTGTGGAGGGGGCTCGCCTGCTGCTGAGAGGGCTGGCCTTCTCCTGCAGCTGAGGCCTGTCCCGGGGGGCGCTGCACCTGCCTCCAGCCCGAGTTCCACTGTGCGGACCCCGAGTGCCAGACCTGCAAGCACCACCCCTGCCCGCCGGGCCAGGGGGCGAAGGCCTTCGGTGAGTCCCCGTAAGGCCCCGCTGCTCCAGCCCAGCCACGGGGCTGGAGCGGCGTGGAAGGAAGCTCACGTGGGGGACGCGTCCTCAGGAGGTGGCGCCCGTCTGTGTGGCCCGGTGTCCCGGCCCCCAGTGGCTGCACTCCGGGGAGTCCTCCCCCTCCCAGCCAGGTCCCTCCATCCAGAACCAGGAAGCTCCTGCCCTCAGGGTGGTCCGAGGAACAGGGGGGAGGAGTGGGGGGCTCTGGCGGGTGTCCGGGGGCTGTCGGTCCTCAGGCCCGGCTCTGACCACACGCAGGGCCTGCGCCCCACTGACCGTCTGCATGGGGACAGGCCTGCCCCCAGCCCCATCTGAGGGTCAGCCCCTTTTGGGAAGGACTAGCTCAAATCCTATTGGGGCCAGTTTACCTGATGGGAGGGGCTGGGGGGTGCAGGCTGAGGGGAGCCCTGCCTGGTTGGGGCGCCCGCCTCAGCCCTCCCCTCCTGCCCTCCTGCCTCTGGCCACTGGACAGTGGAAGGCCTGCCTGGCCTGGCTTTGGCCTGACTTCTGCTTCCCCCACTGCCGGCTGCATCTCACCCTGCTCTACTCCTCCTCATGTCCCCAGGGAACCTCCACGCAGCCCCCAGTGGTCCCCCACGGCCTCTGGGTCCCCCCAACACTGCCTCCCCCACAGACGCCCGCCCTAAACCGAGCACACACAGGCCCTGGTCCCGTGGGGGGTGTCCCCGCTGCCTGTCCACCGTCTCTCTGTCCGTCCGTCTGTCTCCAGGGAACTTCACGTTCGGCTTCAAGTGTGTGGACTGCGCCGTGGGGACCTTCTCCGGGGGCCGTGAGGGCCGCTGCACACCATGGGCCGAGTGAGTCCGCAGGGCTTCCAGGGGTCCCGGGCTGGGCCCTCCCGCCCCTCCCGCCCGGCGACCCCGCGACCCCCTGAGGAGGGGCTGACGAGGGCTCTGTGTCCGCGTCCAGCTGCTCCCGGCTCGGGCTTCCCACCATGTCCCCTGGAAACAAGACGCACAACGCAGTGTGCAGCCCGGTGCCGCCGCCCGCTGAGCCGCGCTGCCCGCTGACCGCCGTCCTGGCCGTGGCCGCCTGCGTCCTGGTGCTGGTGGCGGCCCAGCTCGGCCTGCACCTCTGGCAGCTGCGGAGGCAGCGCGTGTGGTCCCCAGGTCAGTCGTGCCCCGGGCAGAGGGCGGGCCCGGCCTGCCCGCTGACCACTGACCGCAGCCCTCCGCAGAGGCCCGGCTGCTCCCGGAGGCGCCGCCCCCGCCCGAGGACGCCTGCAGCTGCCAGTTCCCCGAGGAGGAGAGGGGGGAGCAGCTGTCGGAGGACAAGGACCCGCTGGGCACCTGTGAGTGAGCTGGCCGCCTCCGGTGGACCGCGAGCCAGGCCCCCAGGAGCGCCGGCTGGCCCTGCGAGCTCGGGCTCCGGGCGCTGAGGGGCCCTCTCTGGCCCGGCCCTGCTCCCCTCGGCGGCGGAAGTGGGCGGGCACGGCGACGGCGAGTCCACAGGCTGGCAGAGGAGGCAGCAGCCGTGCGTGGACTGTGGGGGCACAGACAGGGCTGTGGCTGCCTCCCTCCCCCCGGCCCTGCTGTGGTGGGGGCTGTGACCCCTGTTCCCGGACGGGAGGCTGCAGGTGGCGCTCAATAAACACCTGTCCAGGGACCCGCGTGGACTGTGCTGGAGGGGGACACAGGACGGGGTCCGAGAGATGCCCCCAGCCCTGACAGAGGGGGTGGAGTTAGGGTCAGAGGGCAGAGGCCGGGCTGTTCTGGAGCAGGAGCCCCAGGCGAGGCGGGCTTCCTGGAAGAGGGCCTTGGCCGGCAGCTGTCCCCCATGCCTCTGCTGCCCTGTCCAGTCCCCTCCGAGGGCAGCCTGCCTGGCACATGCGAGGAGGCTGGTCCCGGGCCTGCGTCCGGCTCAGGGCCAGCACCGCCTGGGCTCTGGGCTCTGCCGGCCGGGGTGCCTGCTCTTGAGCCCAGAGCCCAGGGTGGGGTCAGGTTCCACCTCAGGCTTCCTGCCGCAGCAGGTGGTCAGAGTCCCCACTCTGGGCCCAGCCCTCTCTCCTCGTCCTGTGCTGGCCTCCACCAGCTCACAGGACCCCCTCCCGCAGGGCCTGGTTCTGGGGTTCCAGCCAGCCGAGGGGAGCAGCCCCCCCTTGCCTCTTGGCACGGCCAGGGGTCCTGGGTGTGGCTGGCCTGCCAGTGGAGGCCTGTCAGGAGCCGTGCCCTCAGGTGTCAGCATTCCTGGCCCCCTGCCTGCACCCCACATGCCTGCACCCCACATGCCTGCACCCCACGGGCCCAAGCCCCGCCCTCCCCTCCGGCCGATGGGCAGTGGGCCAGGTAGGTGCGGCTCGGAGCAGTAGGTGGAGGAGAGGGGGGCTCTGGGTGCACCCCCCAGCCCGGCACCCCTCTCCCCCTGCACAGCACAGCTCATTTCACCCCAGGAAGGAGGGTGGGGGCAGCCTCACTTCCTGGCTCAGGAATGGCTGTTCCTGGGCCTCCTCTGTGCCTGTTCCTGGTGAGTGTCCGGGTGAAGTAACTACGGAGGAAGAGGTGCGGGTGGGCTGGCTGCCATCAGGGGGCTGCGGTGCTCGGTCTGCGAGAGCCCGCCTCCTGGCCAGGCCCCCCACCCCGCGGTAAGCCAGCGCTCTGAGGGGCTCGACCGGGGTTGGGGGTCCCTGGTCACGGCTGGCCCACCCCGGACTGGCTGCAGGGACACCCTCCCCCCCCAGCCTGCTCGGCTGCCGGCCGCCGGGGGGAGCAGTCGCTGGGCTCGGCCTCCTGGGCGGGGCGGGAGTCGTCTGAGGATCTTCCCGCGAAAACACCTTGCCTGCCCACGCCCGGGCCCCGCGGCTCAGGCGGGCAGTTGGCGGCGGGGCTGACTCAGCGCGGAAACTCCTCGGCTCGGCAGCCGGTGCGTGGGAACGCCGCCCGGACGTCAGCGTGGGGCTGCGGGGGTGCACGTGGGGCGGGGGATTCCAGGGCCGTGGGGGCCGAGCCAGGATGTGGGCGGTGAGCTGGGCTCGGGGTCCGGGCAAGAGGGGTTTCGCCCCAGGAAGCTCCTGTTCCCTCCACAGGCCCCTCCCCCAGCACAGTGCCCCTTTCCCCACGGTCACCCCACCTCCATCTGCCCCCTCCCGCTCTCATGCCCCCCACCCCAATGTCTGCCCCTGCTCAGGTGTTTTTCCAGCCCTGGGGACCCCATGGGTTGCAAGCTCAGCCTGGGTCTGCGGTGCAAAGGGCCTGAGCTAGGGGGCTGGGGGCTGGGGGCTGGGGGGCTGGCGGAGACCCAGGCTCTGGGTGTTCGAAGGCTGCCAGGCGTAGGGTCCGAGAGGCCTAAGCCACTCCAAGTTCTGAGGCTGGGAATGTGCCCAGGACAGGGGGCGTAGGGGATTCAGGGTGCTGGTTCCCTTCCCTCCCGCTCAGCCCAGCCTCCTCCTGCAGGGGGTGGGAGTTGGGGGTGCGCCCACTGCAGAGTGGTCACCCAGCCTGACCCCCGGTGAGGCGGCCGCCTGGGAACGCTCTCGCAGGCGCAGCTCAGGTGTCGCGGAAACCACAGCCCCTCCCGCTGCCGCTCAGGCTCAGATAAGAGACCGAGGCCAGAGTTCTCAGCAGGGCTTCCGGCCACAGGCTCCCTCCCAGCACCTGCTCGCCCGCGGGAGAAGGCCCTGCGCTTCCCTGCCCGCCCTGTGGGCCCCCCGCCCAGGCACAGAGCTCTCCCTGGGGGGCAGGGGGCTATCTGAAGCCGACAACCAAGGGGCTCCCTCCCCGCTCCATCCAAAGAGACAGGCTCAGTCCTCGGAGCGTTTATTCCAACCTGCCGGCAGCGTGGGAGCATGGCGGGTTACCCACAAACAGCTGCTCTGCAGCCCCCATAAGCCAGCTGCTTAGATGGGGCAGGACCAGGGTTACAGGGGGAAGTAGGTATTACGGGGGCGGGGGGCGGGGGAGAGGCAGGAGTAAGCCATGTGGGCTGGGTGGGCTGGGTGGGATCCATTGTTTGGGCAGAAGCTGGCTAATCTTTCCGTGTAATAGGCGGGTCTTGAATGGAATGCATTCCGGTTGGCTCCCAGGTGGGTGTGGGGTGGGAGTGGGTGGGGGCGTACAACTCCCAGCGGGTGAGAGTGTGCTTCCTTCACCAGAACAAGGCAGACGCGGTTAGCATGAGTAATAGTTCCCATAACCACAGCTCGTCCCCAGGGTTCTGTTTTTGTCCCTGACCTGCCCCGGTCCCTGGCTGCCCCAGGGGCTGCGAGGTGGGCCCACAGAGTCAGGCCTGACCACTCAGGATCCTGGACCAGGGCCTGGGTCAGCACTCCTGTGCCTGCTCCCCCACCTGGGTGTCCTGAGCCCTGGGGGGCATGCCCCCAGGCCGGGCTGAGTTCCTTCTTTTCTTTAGATTTTATTGCCTGGGTTGCGGGCTCCATCTCCAGCGGGAGAGGAAGGGGGAGAGAAACATCGATGATGGGAGAGAATCATTGATCGGCTGCCGCCGGCATTTCCAGGTGACCCTTATCTGCCCCCTACTGGGGACCGAGCCGCAACCCAGCATGTGCTCTGGGAATGAACTGGGGTTCGGACTGGACCTCCTGGTTCATGGGTCCACAGTCAACCACTGAGCCACCCAGGCCGGCCGGGCCCCCGGCCTTGAACCGCCCCCTCTAGGTGGCTCTGCCTGGGTGGGGCGGAGAGGCCCCGCGCCTCAATTCCCAGGAAGAGAAGGGTGAGGTGGTTCCTGGAGACGGCTCCTGCTTCTCTGAGACGCTCCGGGCCCAGGGGAGGGGGCGTGGAGTCCGGGGGCCCCCGCTCTGTCTGTCTGAAACAAACCCAAGGCTAGCCCCAGCCCACTCTGCCAGGGGCTGAGGGACGCCCAGCGGGCGCCAGGGTGAAGGGCAGCCTCAAGAAGGAGGCTACAGGGTTGGTGGGGTCCCTGGGTGATGCCTGGGTCCGAGCTGCCGGCAGCTTGACCCCCACAAACTTTGTGCAGATGGGAGGCGTGGCTTGTGTTCCCCAGCCACCAGCAGGCCCCCTGGAGGGGCCTGGGAGATGGCAAAGGAGGGGGGGCGGCGCCTGGGCAGAGGGAGTGAGGGTGAGGGAGGAGAGTGGGGTAGACAGACAGGGTTTACGTTGGACACTCACTGGGCGGTGCAGTGGTGGGCGCCCTGTCCTGGGCACCAGGTGCCACGCCCCCTGCAGGGTCCCAGCCACTCTGCTGCGCTTGCCGCCTGCGTGCTGTCTGAATATTGGGGGGGCACTTCCCGTCTGCTGACGCCCAGGTGCCCTCGGCCCACAGATCCGAGGCTCCGTCTCCTGCCCACCTCTCCCTGGTCCTTCAGGCCCCGAGTGTGGGCTGGGGGGCTGGGGGGCTGGGGGGCGGCATCACCCCGGTGAACAAGCAGCAGAGGCTCTGGGAAACCTCACTGGACACTCAAGCCCTCAGGGACCCCAGGACGAAGAGTAGCGGGGCCCGGGCCTTGGGGGGCCCCGGGAAGGGGGTCTGTGGGGTTGGGGCGAGCTGCTCTGCCAACGTGCGCATCATCCCATTGCGGGACCCGGGTCGTCTGATGGACCGTGGCCTTCACCCCGGCTCCCGCACAGCTGGCTGGGCTCAGGGCGGGCTCGGCGTGGGCCTTCCTGGGGGACCCCTAGACGCGCCCGAGGGGACTCAGGGCTCCTGGGGATACAGGGACACGGGGTGCTGCCAGCCTCTGGCCTGGGCACCCCACCCACACTCAGCCATGGCAGCAGGATGGGGGGCAGCAGGAGCAGAGGCTGGGGGGGCTGTGAGTGACGGACAGGTTGGCCTCTGGCCCCTGTGCCCCCTCCCCCCACCAGCTCTGAGACCCCGGGGACTGCCTCTGAGTCCCAGTTCCCTCCTTCCTCTCCCGCTCCCGGCTGCTCCCTGCAGGGCCAGGAGACAGCGGTGCACGGCGCCCTCTGGTGGTGCTGGGGCCGACGCACTCCAGGAATGCAGCTGTCTTCCCCCTGGGGTGTGGGGTGGCCAGGGGTATCACCCCTGTGGCCAAAGCTCTATGCCCACCAGAGGGGGCCCACAGCTGAGGCCACATGGCTTGGAGGCCAGCAGTGGGGGTGGGTGCCTAGTGTTTGTGATTTGGGGGTGCTGTTGGCGTGACCACTGCGGGGAGGGAGGGCAGGGCATGTGAGGGCGTGCAGGGGGAGGGCTGCAAGCAGGGGTGGGCCTCGGCCAGCTGTCTGCACCCTGGGGTGTGGCCTGGGCTGGGTGGGGGTGGCTGGCCTGGACACTCAGTGGTAGGTGCTAGGACACACCGGGGGCCCTGAGTCCCCCCGAAACCTTGGGGCTGGGCCCCTGGAAGCGCCAAGGCCACAGGCAATGGCGAGGAGGGGCCGTTACCCGCCCAGCGTGGCCCGAAGGTCCTGCCTGGGTCCTGGGTCCTGAGCCCTCACAGGCCTCACCGGCCGGGAGCCAGGGCAGCTGGTGGTGGGTAGCACAGGACCCGGTTTGGGGAAGCCTCCTGGGGGGTTCAGGGGGCCCCAGACCCCTTCCCAGGGCGACACAGCCAGCAGAGGCCCGGGGTTGAGGGATGGGGTGTTGGGAGGGGCGTGGCTTCCTCCGATGCGCAGAGCAGGCTGTGGGAGCTCCTCCCCTTCCTGCAGGACAGGCCCCCCATTCCACCTGCGGGACAGACACCCCCATCCTGACCACCCTGCGCACCACGAGGGTAGACCCCAGCCTGGAGGTGGAGGAGGCGCAGGCGGGCAGAGGGAAGGGCGCCGGAGCTGGGGGAGCTCCAGGGGGTATGGGGTCTGGGGGAGCCCCGGGTCTGGGGGAGCCTCGACACTAGGGGAGCCCCCGTGGGGCGCCGGGACTGGGGGAGCCTGGGCTCTGGGGGAGCCCCAGGGGGCGCCGGGTCTGAGGGAGCCTCGACACTAGGGGAGCCCCCGTGGGGCGCCGGGACTGCGGGAGCCTGGGCTCTGGGGGAGCCCCGGGGGGCGCCGGGTCTGGGGGAGCCCCTGAGGGGGCGTCGGGTCTGGGGGAGCTCTCAGGGGGGGGTAATGGGATCTGGGGGAGCCCCGGGGGGGTGCGGGATCTGGGGGAGCCTCAGGGGGGTGTGGGGTCTGGGGGAGCCTCGGCTCTGGGGGAGCCCCCTTGGGGCGCCGGGTCTGGGGGAGTCCCAGGGGAGTATAGGGTCTGGGGGAGCCCCGGGTCTGGGGGAGCCCCGGGGGGGCGGCGGACGGGCGGGCCGCGGGTAACAAAGTAGCCTTTATAGTCTCGGGGCGCTAGGAGCCGCGGTGGTCCTCGGGCTTGCGCTCCTCCGCGTCCTCCTGCGCCGGCGCCGGGGAGGGTTCCGGGGAGGGCTCCCCGCTATCGGCCCGCGGCTGCGGGGGCGGCTCCGGCGCGGGGTCCCCGCTGGCGGCCGGCGGCGGCTGGGGGTCCCCGGCCGCGGGCTCCCGGCCCGGGGCGCCGTCGGGGCGGAGGGCGGGGGGCCGCGCGCGCTCCTGCGCCGGGTGGGGCGGCCCCGGCCTGCGCGCGCCCGGCCGGTCCGCGCGGAGCAGGAGCGCGGCCCCGGAGGCCGGCTGGCGGGGCAGGTGGCGGGGCAGCCCCAGGCGCGGCCACACGTCCGCCTCCCCGTTGTGCAGCAGCACGAAGCGGCGCTGCGAGAGCAGGGGCAGCATGCGCTGGCCGCACAGGCTCTTCTGGAAGGTCTCCAGCGCCAGGTCTGCGGGGAGGGGCGCGTTGGGGGCGGGAACCCAGTCTCGCCGCATCCCCTTTGTGGGGCTGGGGCACAGGCTTGGGGGGCAGAGGAGGAGGTGGGGGACGGGGAGGGGAGGAGCCCCAGGTGGGCTGGGGGGTGGGGTGGGGGCAGGGACTCCGTGGAGGCGGGCAGAGGTGACGGGCAGGCGTCTGGGATGTGGGAGAGCCGGGTGTGGGCATCCCAGCTTAGGCATGGGGGGTCGGGGAGGCAGTGGGAGGGCGGCTGGAGGGTGTTGGGCCTGGGCAGGGGCCTCACCCAGGGTCTCCATGACCACGCGAGGAATCACCTCCTTCAGGACCTCGCAGTTGGTGTGCAGGGCGGGGTTGGAGTTCATCTCTAGCAGCCACACCTGGGCCCAAACGGGTCAGCGTCCTTCCCCACCTGCCTCTTGGCCTGCCGGAGGCCGAGGCCCTGGCCCTGGTACGCCAGGGGACCCCGGGCAGTGGCCTCGCCCCCCATAGTTGCCCGAGGAGCTGAGACTCTAAGGCCCTGGCCTTGGGGGCTACCCTGCTGCAGGGGGAGTGAAACCCGAGCCCCCCCCCCCCCCCCCGCCCCGGGGCTTGGGGAGGTCGGACTGCAGGGTCCACCCCAAGGCCTGTCCGGCGGTCAGGCTGGGCATAGATGCCCCGGCGCCCCGCACCCGCCTGCCAGGCCCCACTGCCCTGGATGCCCCAACGGCACCTTGAAGTTGTCGTCGATCAGGAAGTCACAGCCGATGAGGTCGAAGTAGCCCAGCTTGCACTCGAGCTTGGACTTGACGGCCAGGAAGCAGTGGGCCATGATCTGCTGCATCTGCTTCTGAGGGGGGCAGGGAGGGTGGTGTCACTGCAGGCGCGGCCTCGACGCCCAGGCCCAACAGCCATGGCCACACCCGCCTGCAGGCTGCACGTGCCTGGCCTGCAGGTCCGCCCCCGCCCCGCCCCCCGTCCCCCCCCAATGGGGGTGGGCGAGGCGCTCACGGACCGTGAAGGTGGTGAAGACCCAGTCGCGGGGGAGGCCCCTGTTCTTGCTGAACTTGTCGTTGATGTAGCGGTTGAGCTGCTCCATGCTCCACACGGTGTCCTCCTTCAGGAGCACGTACAGGGGGCTCTTCTTCTGCATGTACTGGGGGGAGGGCGTGGCGCCTGGAGGCATCTCCCCGGGGCTCCCAGAGGCCTGCCGCCCTGGGTATCCTGCGGCAACCGGGGGCCGGGACCCTCCCCAACCTCTTTCCGTGGAGCCCTGCTCGGCCACCAAGTCCCCACCGATCCCCAGGGAGGCTCAGCCTAGACTCCCCACTGCACCCCTTCCACCGAGACCTCTGGCCCCTCCCCTGAGGACTGCACAGAGGCCCCTCCCCCGGCTCCTGCCCTCCCCACGCCTCATCCGCGCTCAGAGGGAGCCACGCCGCGGTGGGTGGGTGGGTGGGTATGAAAGGGCAGGGCGGGGCGAGGATGAGCTCCCAACTCCGCCCCATAGGGCGGAGTTATCCCTAGCCCTCAAAACCCCTGGACCGGGAGAAATTCTCGCTCTTCCGCCATGCTGCCGGCATGAGTGGGAGGAGCCCATTGCTAGCATGGTACAGGCTCTTTTGTTTATTGCATCGGACTCGGCTCCCTGGTGGTCCTTGGGGATCACGAAGTCTGGGCATAACAGGTGCAGGGCTCTCGGTCCTGTCACCAGGGTGCCCTGTGGTGGCTGAAGGTGAGAGGTGATGCCCAAAGCAGCCTCGGGGGCTGGACCAACGCTGGGTCTGAGCCACGTCTGCCCTGGCCTCTCCGCTCTGCCCCGGAGCCGGGCCTGGTCCCAGGGAGCGGGGAGGACCCTCACCTGGTTGGTCAGGTGGCCGCTGAGGTCCTGGGAGTGGGGGTCGTAGAGGCTGAGGGTGAGGCGCGCGTAGCCGTGGCCGAAGAAGACCATGTAGGGCATGGCGCAGGCGATGAGCAGGTAGGAGCGCACGTCGAACTTCTTCCCCTCCAGCAGCAGCGGGTTCTCGATGTACCTGGGGGCAGGCGAGGGCTGAGCAAGGGCCAGCTCCCGGGACCCGCACCTGCCAGGGCGGCCTGCGGCCCCCACCCCCACCGTCCCCTGGCCGAGGGCGTCGGTCGGTCAGGGGTGTTTCTGAGCAGAGACAGGGCTGTGGTTTCCAAAGGGCAAACGGGGAGTTCCAGAGAGACCTGTCTGAAGCGTGGACCCCGTCCAGAGAAAGAGGGGTGGGGGTCGGGAGCCAGGCAGCTCTGGCTGCAGGCCTGAGGGCCGGGCTGCCCCGGCGGGCTTCCTGCAGGACCGAGGAGCAGTGCCCAGGCAGTAGACACGCTGACCAGGCCCTCCCCGCCCCGCCCCACAGCAGGGGCCTCTGTCCAGGGGGCGCAGCTCCTGGACCGGCCACCCCGACTGGACTGGATGTGACCCCTCTCCCTCTGCTGGCTACTCGGGGTCCTCGCTGACGGCCCTGCAGCCTCCCGCGGCCAGAGACTCCCATACCGGCCGGAGACCCCCGGGAGCCCTCACAGGACAGGGCCCAGGGTCAGCCCCACCCCGCGGGCGCCCAGCACCTCTGCACGATCCGGGCCTGAGGCGTCCGGAAGGGCATCCTGCGGTAGGCGGGGTCGTCCTCCAGGTTCTGGATCTTGGCCTGCAGCGTGGCCAGGTCGGGCTGGCTCCTGAGCAGGAAGATGCCTTTGCCCTGGTTGGAGGCCGTGGGCTTGCAGATCCAGGTCTGGGTTTCTGCGGAAAGAGCCGGCCGAGTCCCCGCTGCGCCTTAACCCGCCCTGGCCCCGCCCCGCCCCGCCCCCAGGCCCCGACCACGCCCACCAGCAATGTGACCACGCCCACCGCCGAACCTGCCCACCCCGGCCTCTCCCCGGCCCCGCCCACGCCCATCCCGCCCCGCCTTGGCCACGCCCACCACACTGATCACACCCCAGACACACCTCTCCACGCCCTGAAACACGCCCCTCTGCGCTCCCACCGCGGAGCCCTGCCCAGCAGCCCTCCAGCCCTGTCCGCACACCTGGCTCCATTCTTCCCTCCCGGGTCACTCACGCACCGGGACCCGGGGCCCGGGCCCTGCCCTAATCACAGCCAGCCTTGGTCGGGCCCCGAACCCGTCTCTTCTCCCTCCCTCCCTGCCCCCAGCAGGCCCGGGTCCACTGCCCCTCACCGTCAAAGAGGTCGAAGAACGTCTCTCTCTCATCCCTGATGTCCAGGCGGTAGGTCTCTGGGAAAAATTCTTCCATTTTCAGGATCCTGGGGAGCAGGGAGGTGGGGGGCATCCTTGGGCTGTCTCCCTCCTGCACAGGCTTAGGGGCGCTGGGAAGCTGGGCTGGGCTCCAGGCACCCCGTCTCCACCCCCTCCTCTCCTTTCCTCTGCAGCCTTCGCACTGTTCCCTGCCAGAGCTCTCCGAGGCTGGGTCCCTGCACTCCCCCCCCTCTCCACGTCCCTGCTCTTCCTCCGTCCCAGAGGCTGCCTGCTGCCTGCTGCCTGCATGGCTCGGGCACTGAGTGGCCAGGTCAGAGCCGTCCGGAACGCAGCGCACAGATTCCTGAGCATGGTCTGCTGCCTGGGGCGCCCTTAACTCTGCCATCTCACACCAGGCCATCCTTCCACCGAGGCGGAGCGGCCCCCCAGCTGGGCTGTGTGTGTCTACCTCTGTGGCTCGAGGCGTCCTGGGCTGGTCCGTGGGAGCTCCTCCCGAGCGGGTGTGGGGTCCCCTCCAGATCTGCACCCCAGGGGGACACAGGGCCTGGCTTGAGTGTCCACTAAGGAGTGTGCGGAGGATAGACGGGTGGGTGTGGGTCTGGAGAGGCGGGTGACGGGTGGAGGCTGTGGAGTGGGTGGGTGTGTGTGTGGATGGGTGGGTGGGTGGGTGTGGGTGGGTGTGTGGATGGGGGTGTGTGTGGGTGGGTGGGTGTGTGGATGGGTGGGTGTGTGGATGGGGGTGTGTGTGGGTGGGTGGGTGTGTGGATGGGTGGGTGTGTGGATGGGGGTGTGTGTGGGTGGGTGGGTGTGTGGATGGGTGGGTGGGTGGGTGTGGGTGGGTGTGTGGATGGCTGGGTGTGTGGATGGGTGGGTGTGTGGGTGGATGGGTGTGTGGATGGGTGTGTGTGTGGATGGGTGGGTGTGTGGGTGGGTGGGTGTGTGGATGGGGGTGTGTGTGGATGGGTGGGTGTGTGGGTGGGTGGGTGTGTGGATGGGGGTGTGTGTGGATGGGTGGGTGTGTGGGTGGATGGGTGTGTGGATGGGTGTGTGTGTGGATGGGTGGGTGTGTGGGTGGGTGGGTGTGTGGATGGGGGTGTGTGTGGATGGGTGGGTGTGTGGGTGGGTGGGTGTGTGGGTGGGGGCGGTTGGGCAGGCGGGTCTGGGATGGAAGTAGGTGGACGGACGGACGGGTGGCTTGGTGGGCAACATGCCCGGAGCGGGACTGTGAGAGGTGCTGGCTGAAACGGGAGGCGGACAGCTGGATGTGTGGGTATGAAGATGGTACAGTGGTGGCTGGGCGACACCAGGCAGATGAGTCTGTGGAGGGGCTCAGGCGGGCCAGTGCCGGGTGAAGGCGGCCGAGGACAGTGAGGGTGGAGGTCGGGGGAACGGGCTCGGGACGGACGGCATGGCTGTGGTGGGCGATGGGCGACTAAAGGAGGGACACCAGCGGGCGGCTGTGCTCGGTGCTGTGTCCGGACTCGGGGGGCTGTGGGAAGCAATGCGTGTTTGGGGTGGAGACAGATTGGTGGCGGGAGGGACGGGTGCGTGGGGCCGGTGGGGGTGCCCGGCGGTGGGCGGGGCCGGGCGGCATACTTGGTCTGCGTGCACGGCGACATCCTGCTGACCCTGCTGATGACCCGGGCGTACTCCCTGAGGGCAATGAGGAGCCCGATCTTGGTGGTCAGCAGCTTGTTGTTGGGGAGCTGGTACAGCAGCTGCTCGCCTGGCAGGACAGAGCGCTGGGCAGCACAGGGCGGCCACAGGGCCTCGGCTGCCCGGCCGCCCGCCACGGGCTCCGAGCCCGAGGGGGCAGCCCTCTCCCAGGCCCTGCCCGGGGCCCTTGCTTGCTCTGGGCCCCTCCGGCTACCTTCCCGGAAGTTGAGGTAGCTGTCGCGGCACTTGACCTCACACCACTTGAGCTTGTAGTCCTCCCGCCGGCTGTCCTGGAGGCGCTGCCAGCCCTTGCTCTTGCAGTAGGAGCTGATTCTGTGGGGCCGGGGCAGACATGAGGGGCCGGGGGACTCAGGCGGCAGAGCCCAGGGGGACGGGGCCCTGGGGGCAGTGGGGCTGGGCCCAGCCGGAGGCCCCCACTCACATGGCGACCCCGTTGGTGCCTCCGACGTAGAAGAAGGGGCCGCTCCCCGTGCTGGGTGGCTGCTTCTCCGCCCGCGGCAGGTGGCTCTCGAGGAGGGTGGCGTGGGGCTTGGCGGCGCCCGTGTCCTCCAGTGGTTCTGTGGACGGGAGGGTGGTCAGCCGCCCCGGCCGGCGGGGCCTTCCCCGCCCTCCCAGCCCCGGCCGAGCCCACCTGCATCCTGGTCAGGCTGGCTCAGCGGACTCAGGGCCCCGTCCACGCTGCTGCTCCCCATTGGTCTCTCATGGGCCCAGCCTGCACATGGGGGTGCCCACTCAGGACCTGGCCACGTCCAGCCCCGGCCGGGCTCCAGACCGGCCAGCCCCGTCCGCCTGTGTCCGGCAGCTCCCAGGCAGCCCCCCAGCCCATGCGGGACGGCCCCTCCCAGCACCAGCCTGCCCAGCAGCCTGGGCCCCTCCTGCCTTCCAGGAGAGAGGGCTGGTCACCACTCTCAGGGGCAGCCTTGGGGCGGGCAGGCCCCTCCTCATCAACAGGGCAGAGCTGGGAGCAGGTGAGGGGCGAGGGTGGAGGCTGGACTGGGGCGGACATGGCACAGGGACATGCCCAGGGGGGCGGGGTCACAATGTCCATCATGATGTCATGGGTGACCCCTGCCAGGCAGGGGTGATGGGCTGCCTGCCCTGGGCAGGGGCGGGGGCTGGGGCGGCAGAGTGCCTGCCAGACCGTGGGGGGAGTGTCCCTCCCCGTGCATGGCTGTGTGTGGTCCCCGATTGGAACCCGTCCCTGGAACGGGGTGCCAGGCCCCAGGAGGCCCCCAGGGCTGCAGTCACCTGGGTCCCCGGGGCGGCTCCTCCAGACACCGCTCATCTTTGCTGGCTTGGCTCTCTTGGTGCCGACCGGGGGGCTCGGAGGGGGCAGTGCCGGCTGTCCGCGGCCGTGGCTGCAGCGGCCGTGGCTGTGGGCTGCGGGCATGGGGACGGTGAGGTGGGGGCTCCGCCGAGAAAACACCATCCGCAGCCCCTTCCGGGACCTTGGCCCCCGAGGCTGGCCCGGGGTCAGGCCCAGCCTGTAGAGGGCAGTGTGCTTCCTGGGGTCTTGGGCTTGGGGTCCCCCGAGCGGCTGGCTCTTGTTTCCATGGTGACTGTGGGGCCTGGTGCCCCTCAGGACCAGGGCAGTGTCTGCCTTCGCTCTGTCCTTGGTGAGGCCTTCCTTGTAGGGGCTGTCTGAATGGCTCCTGTGCCGCCTGCAAGGAGGAGGGTGGCATCAGGCCACTGGGCGGGAGGGCACCCTGGTCGGGATGAAGGCGCCCTGTGCCTGAGGGGGGCCCTGCAGCAGGCGCTGTTGCCCGGGAGGGGGCCCGAGACCAACTTGGGAACTGTTCAGGGCAGTTCCAGCCGTTCCTGAACGGGTCCTTGCGGGGGCGGGGGGGGGGTCTCTGCTGATGGAAAGCACCAGTGGTGGGAAGGCAGGCGGGACCCCAGAGCAGGGGGACCCAGGGCGCTGGTGTCCCCACAGAGGACGGTCACCGAGAAACGCCGGCCAGGCCTGCCCCCATGTAGGACAGACGTGTGCCCCGTTCTGGGGGACGGCATGGGGGGCCAGCCTCCCCCCCCAGGACGGAGCCCCCCGGAGGGCTGGGCGCTGGCCCAGAGTGCATGGTAATCAGACATGGACACACGGCCAGGACATTGGCCCGGAAGGAGGACCCAGAGTGGGAAGTGGGAAGCAGGAGGCCACACCCGCGAGAGGGTGGTGGGACGGGACGCCAGCACGCTGAGGCTGGCGGCCCCTCAGGAGGTCCTGAGACCGGCTCTGAGCGAAGGCCCCACAGCTGGACTGGCCTGCGCCTCAGCTCCCGCGCGAAGGGGGCGGGGCAGTTAAAGCTCAAGGGGGGGCTGGTGGGACGATGGGTGGGGGGGCAGTGCAGGCCAGGCCAGGGTCCCGAGAGCCAGCTGGCGGGGGACCCCGAGGTTATGACAGGAGCATGAGGTGGCGAGAGGCTGGCTGTCCGCCTGGCCCAACCGATGGCCACCTCTGCGGTGCAGGCCTGGGGGGCAGAGCTGCCGGAGCCGCCCAGGGGAGCTGGCCGTGGCCGTGGGCGTGGCCGTGGGCGTGGGCAGCAGGTGCCTCTGTGTGGCCTTCTAACCTGTGTTTATTATTTTCTTAAAGAATAAGGCCCGAGTCATCCTTCTTGTTGTTAAAATGAACAAAGATAAATAAAAGCCGTGGGTGAGCCTGAGTTAGGTGCCCATCTGGGCGGCTGGCCCGGGCTTGGGGGGGAGGCGGCTGCGGGCATTGGCTCGGACCCACAGCCCTGGCCTGACCCCGTCTCCGAGGCACAGAATCTAAACTCAGAGGCGAGCTTTACGCCGGAGGGGGTGGGCACGCCGTGTGGCCCCCGAGGGGCGGGTGAAGGGGAAGCCGAACGAACCCTACCGCCGACGCTGAAGTAAACGTGGTACCTGATCCGGCACCCAGACCGGCGGGAGGCCCTGCTACGCGGCGAGCGGAAGGCCCTCGGGCACCAGCCGGAAACGTCCGAGGGGTGAGGGGCGCCAGTGTCCTGCCACGCGGGGGTGTGTCTGCCGGGCGGGCACCTCCTGGGCGGGGGCGGGCTGGCCACCGGGCCCCGGGGCCCCATGGGTGCGGGGGGGCGGCCCTTTGGAGCATCGTGTCTGGTAGACAGACCTGGTCCTGGGTGCAGGCGCCTGCCCCGAGGGGCCGACACCCCCAGGGGGCATGCTTTTCCTGGCCCGGCCCGGGGGTTTGTGCCCCTCAAGCTGTGGCCCTGGGGGCATGGCATGGGCTCTCCACAGAGCAGGGGCACCCTTCTCCGCCCTCCCCTCCCTCTTTCTGCGCCTGGGCAGGGTGCCCGGAGGACCAGCAGGGTCCGTGGTGGCCAAGCAGGGGGCAAGGGAAGGCAGGCCCAGCCCTCGCACCCAGCCAGGACCCCAGCTGCTGGCCCGCCGGTCCGTCCGTCCCACCGGCCCTGCAGGCTGGTGTGATCCCTCTGCCGGGAAACAGTGGTGGCCTGGCAACCGTCTCCCAGCAACCTCAACCCAGGGCCCAGAGGGGAGCAGCTGCCGAGGAGGGGCGGGGGCCAGGTGCCCGGGCAGCTGGGCCTGCATTCTGCCCGGGGCCACCCTGCAGCCTTCCGGGACCTCAGGTCCACGCCCCGCCTCAGCCCGGACCCGGAAAGCTTTCTGAGCTCACTCGGCTTATGGCCACTTACACCCCCGCACCGCAGCCCGGCAGGCGGGCCCCGCTGTACAGAGCAGTAAGAGGGGCTCAGGAATTCAGCAGGACCCCCTGTGCCTCCGCCTCCCAGGGCCCTGTGTGGGTCACGAGGAATCTGTGCTGAGTGCCTCTGTGTCTACCTTTTTTAACGACGTATTTTTATTGATTTCAGAGGGGAAGGGAAAGGGAGACGGAAG